GCGTTTTTACATGTAAAATCAAAAAGAAAAATGCCGGAACAAATTATTCCAGCGTTTTTACATGTAAAATCGAAAAAAACGCCAAAACTATCAGTTTCAGCGTTTTTACATGTAAAATCAAAAGGAAAAACGCCGAAACAAATAGTTTCGGCGTTTTATATATAAAAACAAAAGTAAAAAACGTTACAAAACGTATTTTTACAATATTTAATAATAAAACTTTGGGTAACCCGAGTTACCCAAATTGACCCGAATACTTTTGGGTCAAATGGGTCAGGTCGGGTCAGAATGGTTTACCCAACCTGACCTGACCTGAAAAAAAATTTCAGTTCGGGTTAACCAGGTAACCTGACCCAACCCGACCCGTGCGGAGCTCTAACCATGTTTGCCTAGTTTTTGACAAGTGATTTAGCCTTATCTTGTTCAAAAGTTTTTCCATAATTAAAACAGAGTATTTACTTCTTATTAAGCAATATGCTGAAGAACAGGTTACAACTATCTCAAAAAAAAGGCATATTGATTCATCTCAAACAAGAATAGATAAATTTTATGAGTCTGATAAGATTGATAATGCTAAACAAGTATTATGCAATAAAGCTGTTGCAAAATTCTTTATTTGTTGTGGCGTGGCATTTCATTTAGTCTCACATCCTTTCTTTATTGATATGGTTAAAAGTCTATGTAATGAATATGAGCCACCATGTCCAAATACTTTATCCAATATGTTTATGAATGACGAACTTACTGAAATAATTGTTGATCAACAACTTACATTAGATAAAGAATCAGATTTAACATTAGGTAAAAAAATAAATTGTATTGTGAAATTTTTTTTTTGTTTTTATATTCATTACACATGAAAGAAAAGAGATTATACATAGTTTAAAAAATTTATCATCAGAATCCCATACAACAACATTTTTAGCTGAGAAAATTAATGAAGTAATTACAGATATTGGGCCTGAAAAATTCTCCGCTATTGTTTCTGATTATGCTGCTGCTTGTGCATCCGCTAAACGAATCATTTCTGATACACATAAGCACATCATTCCTATATGATGCATTGCGCATTACATTTAAGGTTGCTTGCCGAAACCTAGGGGTTTAGGCAAAATGGCATTTCACCAAAAAGTGAAATTCTGCTGAAACTATATTAAAGTTATATTAAAAAATTGGCGAAACTTTGGAGAAAGGTGAAACTGCCAAAACTTATTATAAATGCTGAAACTGCCAAAACTCTGCCGAAACTATAATAAATCTATAGTAAAATTTTGACGAAACTAATCGTAGGATTTTGAAGATGTTTAGACAAGCAACCTTAATTACATTAATTGCCGATCCGCCTAAAATCGGCACTGCATTACTAATAAAATTCGGGAATAATAGCGATAATAAAAAAAAGCATTTTTTGCATCTCGCGCGTGAAATAAGTTTCAACCATTTTACAAACAGAAATATCATAAATACAATATTTTCTTTCATTTTATGACAAGT